GGGGGGGGGGGGGTATTACACTCCCTCCCCCACACACACCCTCTAGCTACGCCCATTCGCCCTTGTGACAAGGGTACAGTATGTTGGCAACTTATGTCAATTAGTATAATATGTCATATTCGACATATCTATAGCAATTCAACCAACAAGTGCCAACAACATACCTCTCCTTTATTGTTAGAAGTTGCTGTAAAATATAAGATCTGATAACAGGCGTGACATCAATTCCTTGTCCATCAAAAGGTGTAAAATCTTCAGTTTCATTTTCATCCTTGATCACGTAGCCAATAAATTTTCGAACTAGATCTGGATTTGGCAACTGCTCTCCAAAGCAATACACAGACACAAGCTCCATAAAAAATGACTTGCAGCGGTTACGAAAACTGTTGTAGATCTCAAGAGCACGTCTTTTAAAGAAAAGTTAAACCTACTGTTACCCACTAAAAATCTAGAAATTGTTCCTTCAAATTCGTATTAAGGATGTTATTTAAAAAGTAGTATACATAGTTTTCAAAATATGCACTAAACTTTTCCATATTTGACCTGCACTTTTATTTCTGGTACAATTTAACTTCAAAGTGCATGCGATACGAAATTTCCCTCCAATTTCCCATGCATCACTTGAAATTATTTTGAAATGACCATAACAATTTACTCAGAGCTCATCACATTCCCTAGTTGCTGTTATCACGTCACCGGTTGTGCTTAAGATGGCAGCAAATGGAAGAAAATCTAATATCTCAGAAGTGATTCAATCAAATTAAATAAAATTTGGTACGTGCACCTAAGCAACCATTTTAGAATGTTTATGCGGTTGTCATACAACACACTAACTACCAGGTCTTTCTTTCCTATTTGTCTAATTCTTTAATTGCTTCCAACAAAATTTGTAATTTGCATTTGTTATTTTTTACTTATAGGTGCATGCCGTGGTGAATAGAAAATATTCCGGAAAATGAAATTTTCGTTCCAAAGTGTCTACAGGAGAGACATTATTTAAATAAGAGGTAATTAACCTGGTACTTAGACAGTGCGCTTCTATGACCACCACATAATGTGCTTATATAACCACTACACATTAAGTTTTAAGTAAACCACTACACATTTAATTTGTTGAATTATTAGACTTTCCACTCCTTGCTGCCATCTTAAGCACAAAGAAGCACTGTTAATTTCAGAGTTAATTTATCATTTCAAGTCCAGTGGAGTTTTTAATCCACATTTGGCGTTCAATTTGGTTCAAAATAACTCTACTGGGAGTTAAATTAACACCTTGAAATTAACAGTGCAGGGACGTAATAACACGACTGCAAAATGTCTGACAACTTGGGAAGGAGACAAGATGTGAATAAATTATTAAGGCCATTCTTCATCAATTTCAAGATTTTCATGTGATGCATAAACAAATGGAGAAAAATTTTGTGTCATTGGACTTTGAATTGACCCAAAACCACAATATGTTGAACCACCAAAACTGAAATCATGTTATTATAAGTTAAATCATTCAAATCAAATGGTTAATCGTTGTTGTGCGTGTAAGCCAACCGTAGCAGGTGGTCGTAAAGCGAGAGGTTGGGGTGTTAGAGGCGTCAAGGGTTTTAACCCTTGGAATTCGTACTGTAGGATTCAATGATGTAGCTCGTCGTCTGAAGGGTTTCGCAAAAGCAGTTACCAGGATCTGGTGTGTCAATGGTGTGTAGGAAAACTGGAGTTTTTCCCCAGTCAGTGCAAAGGTGATTTACAGCCTGGCCCAGAAAGCGCGTTTCAGGATGTCCGAGAAGATATATGATAGTTACTGATTGCATTGGAAAAACAACAAAGAGAAAACCCAGTAATCCACTTTACCTGCACTTTTCACTGATTTCAACTTTGAAGTCACCACCAACTTCTTCCCTGCATATGGGACATATATTATGTTCGTGAAACCAATCGTTTGCGCAAGACATACAGCATATATGCTCGCATGGCATTTCAACAGGATCTTGGAGAGGATTCTGACAAATTTCACACTGACTAATGTCAAATCTAAAAAAGCATATCAAACGTTTCGGTCAAGCCTTTCTCAGCTTAGCATAAGAACCTACGCTACACTGAAAACAGTCTTTGATGGAAACTTTGTTCTAATTAATATGTGATGCCAAATTTGTTCTTCTTAAATATAGGGTTTAATATCGAGTTCTTTTTAAAGTGCCTATGACACGAAATTGCACCCCAAAGGTTTATCGTTGCATTGTAAAGATCACTTAAAATGACTTAATAATTTCTTTTATAAAATTTTGGTAACTTGCTCCCTTTTCAAGATATTCAACTTTGTTCCATATGCAAATATCACCAGTGTGATATTTGCACAACACATAATTAGTTCTCAGAAAAGTATAGTTTTCTTGACGAATACGTATCTAAAAAACTTCAAAATTACACTTGTATATGTATTAATTTCATAACTGGTAATTAACCTTCTGTATTTGTTTGTAGAAATATTTTATCAAGGTAAAATAATGCGTTTTCAAAATGTCATTATGCGATGTGATGTCACACCAGTGATATTTGCATACGAAACAAAGTTAAATATCTTGCAAAGTGTTACGAAAGTATATCTAAATTATAGTACAAAAATAGTTCAGTTTGCACCCCAGGTAATTATAGACACTAGTTACGTCAAATGGAGATAATAATGAGCTTTTTTGCTGTAAAACGCAGATAAAGTATATATCATTTCGGACTTGCGTAAAAGTGTCAGTTATCTGTCCATTAGGCAAGATAAATAATTTGTCAAACTGTCAAAGTTGGACAATAGCCTTGCATGGTGGGCTGTTGTGTTTACATAATTCAAAGTCCAACGCTGGTTCTTCTCTGACATGAAAATGTGCATGCTTAGGGCCTTTCTGTCAATCGCTCTTCGCTATATTTCGCGCGGTTGAGTAATGATAACATTACGTCATCAAAATCTTGGTTCAATAAAATTGTAAGTAAATTTAGTTTAGTAGGTAAAGTAAGGTTCACATAAGTATAGGTTGAAGATTTTACTATGATACTTTGATAAGTATTTTAAGTTGTGAACATATTTTAATATTGATCGATTGAACAGCGAACCAACTCGACCAGTGCGACAACGCCTTAAATAAACAGAATTTGAGGGCTGGAACAAGCTACCAACGCCAACCCACACTTTTAAACCTCAACGTTGATTGGCTGGATACAAATCACACCACTTGCTAGATCACGTGTAGATAGATCCCTCAACCGTTAGTATAAAAGGGCGTGCACAATCCAAATTCGTCAGTGAACGTAGACTTAATAAAACTTAACTGATGAAAAGCTACTGAAACTCAAACGAAACTAGACAACGACAAAGAAAAAACGAACAGTGAACAACGAAAGAGGCTGAAGAAAGAAGATAACTTTGAAAAGGAACGATTTTAATATTAACATTATAGTGACACTAATTAAAAACACTGTAACGATTCCCCACCTCGCGTAGAAAACGGAATAAAAATCCTATAATTATATACAAAAGGAAGCAAGTTACCAAAATTCTATAAATGAAATTATTAAGTCATTTTAAGTGATCTTTACAATGCAATCGTAAACGTATGGGGTGAAATTTCGTGTCATAGGCACTTTAAGAAATCCCATACATGTTCGTCCCGCACGAGAATAATTATTCAAATAGTCACGATATACGGAGTCAAAGTCCACGGCTTTATATTATCAACGTCGTACCCAAGATCTTAATTTGCCGTGTCACCAGAGTGTGAGAAAATAGCTAGCCTGGATACGAGGTTGTTATAGTATGAGGCATCGTGTTTTTCCTGTCTGCTTTCCAGATATTGTACAACACATTTTTACGTTGAGAATTTAATAGCTACCTGATTAATCGTTCCCTCATTTCATCGCTGCAACGCTTTAGGAATTTCTCTATTACGGTCATAGTATGGACAGTTGAAAAGTCAGTATTTTCTCCTAAAGCCTGCAAAATTAAATAACATCTTGTAGGTGCGCACATTATACGATATTTTAAGAACTATTGTTGTAGAAATCTCAACAGGTGGCATCGGGACAGATACACATATGGACAGATAGGTCCAAAAAATGCCCTAAACTGTTGAATTTAAGTATCTAGCACAATATGTGTGGCAGCCGCATGATTTTCATGGGGTAATCACTGAGATTGACATCAGTGTACAGAATAACGTGGCTCCCAGGGAAATTCTGAAAAAGATATTGTACCATTTAACAATAGACCTTATGCATAATGACATCACAAGGCTTGATGCCCACGAGGAATGCTGGTCTTAGTAGTCATCGCCCGGGAAAATTTCGATAGTGGCCATTTTGAATTGTTTAATTTTCCCGGGCGATGACTACTGAGACCAGCATTCCTCGCGGGCATCAAGCCTTGTGAC